TAGCAAATTCCATTAATTGCCCAGCTCTAAATACAATGTAAATATGTTTTGTACTACTTCATTACAGTATAGTTGGCTATTTATCTTATCTATTTATTAATATACTACGTATCAGGTGACCAAATATCCCAGTTATACCAGGACAGTCCCATTTTTGGTAGTTTGTCCCAGTGTCCTGAGAAAGGTTGTCAGGATGCACAAAACATCCCGGTTTTATGATAAAGAAATCAAACAGTCAATCATATCAAATCACAAATGCAATATGCCTACTTGAGTTGCATATTGTTGTAACATACTCTCCTGCTGCAAACTTTCTCAAAAGTTCCATCTGTACATGGTGAGAAACCCAAGCTTATGCAGATTTGTTAATTAGTAGAACTGTAATAAGACCTATAGCAGTTGGTGGATGTGCAGTGGGTGGTTAAATTTTAGGAACTGTTCTCCAAGATATTTTTATTCATGAAAATGTTTATCCTATCATAGCATCAAAATGCCAAAAAGAAAGTTTTTTTATATACTTTGAAAGCAGACTTTCCTTTTTTAAAGGCAAATGAGTTGGATAAAAAAAAGTTGAGTGCACTATTTGCAATGTGGTGTTTTCAAAAGTATACAGTGGCAGATCCCATATTATAGATACAGTGCCCAGAAAAATTACAATGACCATTTTGAAATTAGGGATAAGGACTGGGCTGTCCCAGTTTCTTGGTTTTGAATATCTGGTTACCTACCTATATATTATTATAAAAAATATATTTATTGTACTACTGAATTTTGTAGTCACTAAATTACCTTATAGTTTCAAGTTACCTTATTTATTATTGATATTATATATATTGTACCAGTGAATTTTAGTATAGGTAGTTAGGTACCATATTTATTTATTAATATTTAATGTATTACTATGTTAATGTATATTGTACTCCTGAGTATATCTGTTGTAAAGAAAAATGACTTTATTTACATTGTGATCCAAATAAAATGTAAAATGATAGCTTTGTATTCTATCAATAGGGAAAGTTGGTTTATATAAATTTCTGGGTGATCATTCATGACTGTATTTATAACAAAGCATTTGTATGTGCATAATATGATCAATGATAAAACAGCCTGTAGCTGTATATATCTGTATGTTTGTCATAATGTGAGCCATCATTAGTGACAGACTCAACTGTTATAATTTCCCTAGTCTTTTTAAATACATTTAAGAATGAATTTTAGTGGTAATAAAAATATTTTCACTCATTCTTCATCCTTAAGTCACCTACATATACAAGAGAGAATAAAAAATACATGTAATCTTAGCATTTACTGTCACAAACCCAGAATTAATTTATTTGTACATTTTCTTAAATCATTACAAAACTACAGTCTTTACCAAGAGTGACAACTCCTGGTTAGATTAGCCACTTGGAACCACTCATATAACTGTACAAATTACTCTTCTAACCTTTCACCTGACTGTAGTCATTATCACTGAAAGCTAACTGAGATAAAAGGTTACAATATTTAGTTTAGTACATCACAATCTAATTTTATTCTGTCAAGTAATTCATACTCATAGAATTGGTCTATGGTAAAATAAATTTGTAGTTACTAGGATGCGTAATAGGCTTTCATTTCAAACACAGTTCTTAATTTTTCTATAAGCATGAAAAAAAAAAAGAACTACTTAGTTGAATGAGAAACCTATAAGCATAAAACACTACCAAAGCCAACTATGGATCAAGAGTAATTACAATGAAATGCTCTTACATATATTTCTAAAGAATTTGCAACTACAACAATTACTTCAGATTCTACCACACCATACCTCACAGAATCTAAGTAAAGAAGTTATAATAAATAAACTGGCAAACAATTAACAAAAATTATCATTGCTCTGAATGATGAATGGTAGAACTAGGTGATTTAATCGACCAACTAATATAACTGATTACCTATGAGCAGCAATTGCATTGATTAGTCAAATAAACTAATCAATTAAACAAAATGAGGGTTTCTGAATATTACTATTTTTATTTTTCCAACTGTCCAAGGAATCAAAGTATTGCCATTATATTTGTTTGTTATTAAGCACAAAGCTACATAATTGGGGTACTAAAACCTAATTTTAGCATTATTATATTTATTTTTTCAAGTTTGTTCTGGTGATTTGGGGAAGGAATGGAGATCACAATCTGAGGGTCTTAGGTTCACTGCCACTAATTTGAACTGCTAGCTAGAAAGATGGCAAATGGCTGGCAGCACTCATCAAATGCTCTTAGGCTTCTTTAGTGTTAAATAAAGTGTAAATTTACTGGTTATATACAATGCATTATGTCTCTAAGTTATTACTGCATAACTGTATTCTTTAACCCTTTTGTCATAGGCATTTTCTTCTGCACATGTCACGAGGTTTTACTGAGTTACATTCAAAATTTAATTAAACTACTTTGTTATCATTGTATACAAATAAACCTGGGAAAAATATGTAGTTAATGAACTAAATGTTAGTAGTATGTAACTTTTACATTCTTAATTTTATAAGGTAAAAAATATTAAATTCCCCTTAATATGAAAATTGCAACATTTTCTTTCTAGGCATCCCCTGTTCTGTAATTTATTTATCACCCCTCCATGAAATATGACATTTAATGTAAATTATTCATTATAATGTGGTCATGGCTCAGGCAAAGCATAATTTTTATAGCCTTCAATCTCTTTTGGTTACAGAATCATCAAATAGAAAATCAGCCCCCTTTTGCCACACCCACCTGTCACATGCTCTCTTTTAGAAATTGCCAATAGTTCTCTCAGACATTTAATAATATTTTAAAACCAATAGAAAGTCAAGATATTAATCAATCAAATGATGTATTATATCACATTGTTTTCTGTCATTGCATTGTCGGTTTCTCTTGGAGTTTCACTTTTAATCCATGGGAAACACATCATCGAGCTTAGCTGAATTTCTAATGACACTTGTTGCACAGTTAGAAAGCCAGAAAAATTGTGATAGTTACAGGATATATTATGCTTTTTGCATGTTATTATTCTGTGCTCTTCAGAGCATTATTTAGTTAAATAAAAGATTATATAGTGTTGTACTACCATTAGTTTAAAAAAGTAGGGTTAAGTGTCATCGAAAGTGGACAGCAAAAAAAAAAAGAAAAAAAAAGAACACCCAGGTAAGAAGTACTTTATTCCTTGTATTTCATGTGTATTCTTTATTTATTATTAAAAAAGTAACTAAAATATAAAAATTGGAAATGTTTTAGGTTAGATAAGGTAAAACAAAAGAATAATAAAATAAGTTTAGGTACACTCTCAAGTAGCCCGTGCATTATATAATTTGATAACAGGTAATTGAGATGTATTTAGTTTTTTTTTATGGTTACAAGGTCAGCCCAATTGACCAACCTTGTATAGAGTTAGGCTAGAGAAAATAACAGATAAAATATAGTTTTACTGAAAAAAAAGAATGTTTGAAGTTTATTTAGGTCTTAGAGATTACACAAAGGAAATTTGAGATTTTTGAGACAAAGAAAAGTAATTTTAATCTTAAGATGCAAATGATGTTGCACTCAGACTAGTCCAAAACAAAGACACGGTATATTCACAGATAAATCTTTAGTAAAAGTACTTCATTAACAAATCTGACTTTTTTATGTACAAAAACTTGTAATGTTTACTAAAAGAGTCCCAATTTTGTTAAGATACATGTATTGTATTAAAAGTTACAGTATGGAATCTATAACATATACAAAACAGTTATGAACTCAGTCAATTTGATGGACCTCGTAGCGAGAGAGTTATTGTTGAATAAGCAGATATGAATCTAAGGAAGAGGTCCAGGGGATCCTGACATCCTATTAATTTTTGTTCAGATGTGGATCTAGGAAAGGTCAGCCCCTCTTCATTTTTTTCAGAAATTAACAAAAAATAGTAAGATGTCCTTAAACTACCATATAGTTTCAAAAAGAAATATTAGATGTCAGCATTTTTATCTCATTATGCTATTAGTTTATTATTATTACATTATTATTTTAGGTTTTCTGAAATCAATAAAACTGAAGCCTACAGCAATCCAGTCATGGTATCAACCAGTAACTGATTATTTCACAGCTAACAGATAGTTTTCACTGATGTCACAACATCTAGGGTTTTCTCAAATCAAGCACCACCTTCTTGTGGATTTAGCTCAAACAACTGCAACAGCCAAGTAAAGGACTGTTTGATTACACACTTAATAGTGTGGTTTCAGTATTTAATACTATATTTTCTTATGGTAAAATAATTAAAAACTGCAATAAATTGATTAACCCTCTCAGTATTTGCTCTGTTGATGTGACCAAGCTCATAACTCCAAAGTAACCATTAGAGTTAACAAACTATAGCTTTTAATATGTTTTGTGTATATTCATGAAGTGTGGCAAGCTTTCACTAAACATTACAAGTCTTTTGTACTCTAAAAATCAGATTTTTTTAATTAAATATTTTAACTAAAAAATTTTTCATGAATGTTTGGAGTCAGAGTGTTGACTATTCCAAGTGCAAAATGATTTTCATAAGAAATAAATTTAAATAACCCTTTTTTCTTTCTAGAATGATTGAAAATGATAATTGGATGCTTAAATTGTTTATCCTAAATAGCTTAAAGCTCTTGTAAATGTATATACTGTTTATACTTTATTTTATTTCAATATAATAATCCTACCATATGAGTTGTGAAACACTCAGGAAATGTGTAGCTCACATTATCATATCGAATAACGTAATGCATGAGCAGCTTACGAGCCTTTAAATCTTATCTTAAGATTGTCGAACTGAAGACTGCAATATAAATTTTTCAAACTGAAGATAAAATAGAAAATGATATAATAAAACACAGCATATCATAGCTTAAAACCTTGGCTTTCTATTGGTTATAAATAATGTAGTATAAAACATCAGAAAGAACTATTGGCAACTACTGAAAAAGAGGATTTGACAGGTGGGTGTGGAAGTGGGTCTGTACTTACATCTTTCAAAGACACAGAAGCATCATTGATCTTCCAAGTAGAATTATTTTCTGTGATTTCCCTGGTTATTACCCAGTTTCTTCCATCAGGATTAAATCTGTATACACAAAAAACAACTAAAATAAAATATGTGGTCAGTGGATTCCACCAGCCTTGTAACCATAAAGTAACCATGACTTTTTATACTATAACTTTCAGTAAATATTACAAGTCTTTTGTACACAATAAAATAAGATTTTTAAATTATTTTTACTAAAGGCTTATCCATGAATATATTGAATCAGAGTATTGACTGTTATGAGTGTAAAGTGATTTTCATATTAAGATTAAAAAACTTTTGTTCATCTGAAAATTTTCAAATTTCATTTGCATAACTTGTAAAAACCTATTAAATAAATAGCAATTTTTTGTTTAGTTAAACTAAACTTCATATTTGATTTCATATTTTCTCAACCTTAACTCTATACACACTCAGTCGATTTCACTGACCTTGTAACAACCATAAAAATACGAAATAAATCTAAATTACCTTTTTATTCTTTCTAGAATGACAGCAGATTGTAACAGAAAACTATAATTGTTTACCATAAATAGCTTAAGGCTCATAATAATCTACATATGTTTATACTTAATTTTATTGTTTTACTGCCGTTTGAACCATGGAATTAAAAATCCTGCCATACAAGTAGTAAATCATTCAGTGAAAGCATAGGTCAAGTTACCATGCTGAATGATGTAGCACGAGTTACTCGCAAACATACCTCATGGAGTTTTTATTATTATTATTATTATTATCTTATCTAACCTAATAAATGTCTAAAATTTGACATTTTAATTCTTTTATAACAATACATAAAAATATATCAGAAAAACAAAAATATAGTACCTACATTGGATGTCTTGTTTTTTGCTGTCAGCTGTCGATGAAATTGAAGCCTACTTTTTTATAACAATGGTACTAGTACACTAAATTATTTCTATTTACTTAAATAATGCACCTAAAAATAAAACTCACAATACAAATAATGTCCTATAACAATTATAATTCAACTGGTTCTTTAACTAACACAAGAGGGATTAAAATAATTCCCTTAGCTACTTGATCTGAACACCACAAGATAAAATTTCAAACTGAAAAAAAATTAAAAACACATGTACTGAAAACAATGTTGCATTTATATATCATTCAGTAGATTAAAACTTTGCCTTTCTACCCTGTATAAATGATATAGCATAAAGCATAAGAGAGAATCATTGACAATTTTTGAAAGACAGGATGTGACAGGTGGGAGTACCAAGTGGGTCTGGTTTTCTTGTTTTTGAAGGTTATAAATATTAGACTTCACCATAGTAATATCTATATTATAATGAGTAATTTATATTAAATTCCATACTTCAGATAGGGGCAATAAATAAATTTCAGTAGAAAGACCTAGAGAACAAATGTCATGGTTGTCATATTAGGGCAGATTAAGGATTAATTTAAATATTTTCTTATAAAATTAAGAAATCATAACTTACATAATATTAAAAGTTGATTTACTAACTACATTTAATGCCAAGTTTATTCATATACATTAATAATGTAGTAGTTTAATTAACTTTTTAACATGATCCTGTAAAAGATCATTAGATGCACACTTTCACCTACCCACAGAAAGATGGTTAATCTAGAAATAAAAAAAAACTTCTCAGCTCTATCAAGTTTGACAAATAATGTTTTCCATTACAGTAATTTACACAATTTATAAGACAGAACCATATAACTGTGTGCTTCATTTATTCCAAGACTTTAAATAATATAAATCATTTTGATTGCTAAAAACTTCTGGTGTCACTGGTCTTATTTTTGTGGAAGTAGTAATTGGTGTGTGTGTATATATTTTCTTTTAACTGAGATTTTATACAAGAGATGTTTCTGTTCTCTGTCAAAACCTAAAGCAGAGAAGAGGCAGCCAAACTGACAGAAGGGTGAAATCAGAATGCCCCAAGTTAACTCTAAGAAGTCCCTGGTTAAATGTGGAGTGCTGTCTCACACTTCAACAAGCTTTAAGCTTTGGCCACCCACTCATGTACACCAAGTGAGTTCAAAAATGCCATAGGAAATCCACTATGAAAAGACTATCAACTGCAGAGAATGATGAGACTCACTGATGTATACCAAACTGCAGAAATCAGTATCAACCAACTCTGAGGCCTTACATGTGTGGACCCTTTAACTCCATCAGCACGGGCTCAGTCAATTGGATACTACTAACTTTAATATAGTACGTATATCTTCACAAAATTTGGCAGACTTTCAGTAAATATTTTAAGTCTTTCATATACAAAAAATCATTAACAAAAAAAAAGATTTGTCCATGAATATATCGAGTATTATTTTTTTACTAGTCAAAGTAATTTTCATGTTAAGATTAAAAATACTTTTCTTCATCTCAAAAATCTCAAATTTCATTTGCACAATCTCAAAAACCTCCTAGATATATTTCAAATGTTTTTTTCCAGTAAAACTTTATATTTTATCTGTAATTCTCTGTACCCTAACTCTATAAAAGGTTGGTTAATTTGTAACATGAAGCTACATTCATTTATCCTACGTAGCTTTACACTTGTAACACTATACATCTATTTATACTTAAATTTTATTGTTTTATTGCCCTATGAACCATATCTGACTACTATTTGTGCCATTATAAGCTGTAAATCACTTGGGGAATGTGGAGCTCATGTTACGCTATCGAATTACATTACCCAAGCCTCATGAAACATTTTTATTATATTATTATTATTATTAGTTATTTTACCTAATCTAATCTTAACTAACCTAAAGAGATCCCTAATTTTATGTTTTAGTTACTTTTATAATAATAAATTAAGAATAAACATGAAAAAACAGAAATAAAGTACCTACCCAAATCTTTTTTTTGCTGTTGACTGTGATGACACTTAACCCTACTTTTTTATACTAACAGTAGTAATGCACTAAATAATTTTTATTTAACTAAATAATTCACTAAAGAACATAGAATAATAACATGCAAAAAGCAGACAATTTCCCCTAACTACCACAATTTTTCTGGCTTTCTAACTATGTGACAAGAGCCATTACAAATTCACCCAAGATAGTAATTATCTTTCCTGTGGGAAAGAAGCTTGTACTAACTGAGAAACTGACAATTTTCTGATCAGAAAACAAAGTAATATAATATGCCATTTGACAGACGAAAACCTTGGCATGTGACAAGTGGGTGTTGCAGAAGGGGTCTGTTACTCTATTTGATGGCTCAGTAACCAAACAAGATAGAAGACTATAAAAATTATGGTTTGTCTGAACAATGACGATTTTATAGTGAGTAATTTACATTAAATTTCACACTTTTGGAGGGATAGTGAATAAAATAAAGAAGAGAGGATGCCTAGTGAAAATATTTCATATTTCTCACACTAGGGAAATTCAGGATTTTTTCAAATATTGCCTTTTAAAATTAAGAACTTAAAACTTATATAGTATTAAAATATGGATTATTAGCTACAATTTTACGCTATACTAATTGGTATAACATAAACAAAAAGTAGTTTAAATAAAATGTGAATGTAAGTCTCTAAAACCTCATGACATGTGCAGTAAAGAATGGCCCGGGGCAAGAGGGTTAGTAGCACCAAAAGGGAAAAGCAATGGACCAATTATTTTTCTAAACTTGATCCTAACCATCAGATGCTAACTGATGGAAACTATGTTACCAAAACTAGTCGGTTGTAACTGATAATAAAGAGTTTATGTTGCATTGTGAAAAAAATGTCACTTTTATGTTTTTTACTCTTAATGGTCATATAATTCTTGTACTTTGGTAATCCGAACTTTAGGGGAGTATATTATTCTTCCAGCATGGCCACAGTGATAATTGTTCTTACAATATACATAACCGAGTTTCAACTTAGCAGGCATACCTCCCAACAGATTAAATGCAAAAAAAAGGCTAAATATTGGAGAATCTAGCTGAAAATATATGGATAAATATATGTCAATTGTCTCAAACACAAAGCAGATAAAGTACACATTACTAAAAAAACTTACCTTTATATACAGATGTTCTTATAATTAATAATGTTTGGATGACTTACTCAGTTACACATTGTCATGAGTACAGTAGAAAAGTGATGGCAAAATGTCAAAAAAAAGGGGCATATATTTGGACCCTGGGTTACATGGAGAAACTTGGGGGATTGCACGGATTCTCCTTCAGTAGAGGTCAAAGCAAACACACAAATTCTCTTCAGTCTTCAGGTACATTCTCCATCTGATACAGCTTCCTCTCCTTTGTGATGAATTCTAACTCCTAGTCTAACACTACATTTCAATTTCTCAGCTAAGCCACCTGAAAATTCTTACTATGCTTCCCCTTTTTTTTTCAGTTCTGTACAAGCAAAACATCTGCATCTGTACCTCTCCAAAGAATACTTGATAATTAACACTTTTAATATGGGCTCGGTCCATTTGACTGACCACGTGATCTCTTTGTACTCATTTAAAGTCTTTATAGATTTAATACTTATAACTCTCAATATCGTGTGTACATCTTCACGAAAATTTGGCAGTCTTTTAGTTAACATTACAAGTCTTTCACAAACAAAAAATAATATTTTTAGTGAAGTATTTTTAATAAAATAAAATAAAGTTTTGTCCATGTATTTGTTTTGAATAGTCTGTGTGCAATGTAATTTTCATGTTAAAATTTCAAATACTTTTCCTCATCTCAAAAATCTCAAATTTCCTTTGTGTAATCTCTAAAACCTCCTAAATACATTTCAAACGTTTTTTTTCAGTAAAACTTAATAGTTTATCTGTTACTTTCTCTACCCTATCTCAGAATGGGATCAGTCAATATGACCAACCTCGTAACTACTAAAAAAAAATTTAAATAAACCTAAATTAACCTTTTTTTCTTACTAGAATGACTTCAAATTGTAACCTGAAACTACATTCGTCTATCCTAAGTAGCTCTAAGTTCGTAAAATTATACATCTATTTATAATCAAATTTTATTGTTTATTGCCTTTTGAACCACGTCTAACTACTACCCTCGCCATTACAAGTTCTAAATCACTTGGGGAACGTGCATCTCACATTACGCTATTGAATTACATTACCCACGAGCTGCTCGCGAGCTTGCCTCATGAACCATTTAATTATATTATTATTATTATTACATATTTTACCTAATTAGTGTAATTTATTTGTTTTCAAACTTGCTGTTACAAACCAATATAAGGAAGCATAATTGTAGAGGTACAATTTCATGCATCACAAGCCCTAGAATACTTAAAATAATTCAAAAATTCAGAACATTTTATTTAAACTGATTTAATCAATGGAATGCTAAAATAGATTTCCAATCATCAAAAGAAAAAGAAAGCTTTTACAAAATTGTTATATATTAACCATATGAAAATAAAACTGATCAATTTGACAAAACTTGCAAATGTGAAGCCATACATACTATAGCTCTGAATTTACCAAATGTATCTATGAAATTTGGCAGTATTCGATAAACATTGCAAATAAGTCTGTTATACACAAAAACACAAATTTTCTAATAAAATATTTCTACAATAGATTGGTCTGTGAATTTCTAAATCCTTTATGGAGACAGTCTAAGTGAAACATGATTTTCATGCCAAGAACAGAGATACTTCTTTTCATCTTACTTGTACATGAAATCATGTTTTTTTGGTTAAACTTTATATTTTCTCTCTTAATTTCTCTACTCTAACATTTACTGTATAAAAATCACCAATATGCAGTGAGATTAAGTTTAAAAACATGAGAGAAAATGAATGTTAACATTTTCCTACACTAAAAATGTATTTCCCATAGATACTTATTTTTCTTCTCACATAATAGCTTTCTCGACTTAACATGCCCTTTCTATGTTCAATTTTTGCTCACCACTAGCCTTGATACTCCCACCTACCCTCACCTGTTTATACATGGTATATAGTTGTGCTGTAGCATGCAAATACACATGTGACAACCCTTTATTGATAGGAGTGCCACATACAATTCTAGCACAACTGACTCCCTCTATACTGTAGAGGACTTTCATCGCTTCGCGATTAGACAAAAGAATGCACCAAGAGTGAGGAGGATAGGTGGGAAGTGTGAGAGGAGGTAACTATTTATCAGAAATACATTTTCACTATAGGGAAATGTTAACTTCCAATACAATATCTTACCACTTCTCACATAACAGCTAGAATCCCACATTGAAATGGTGAAGGGTCCAGTGCAAAAATTACCAAGATGACGATTCTTTGGAAGACACCCAAAGAGAACCTATGGAATGTGATACCTTAATGTTTAGGGTAACACCTGTAGGAGACCATACTCCATCTGTACCAGGTATACTCTTTGCCCATTGTAAAGATAGTGTAGCTAAGTTGGGTGGAAAGATGCATGTTCAATCTGTAAGTGAATGTACCAAATGGTCTACAATATCTAGGGCATGTCAGACTATGTTTAGTGGGTCAACTGCAGTCCAAAACCTGGTGGCATTGGATATTTTTCTTCCAGTCCACAGCTGGAGGAGGGTCCCAGCCTTCTTCACCTCAAGTTTAGGAATCAGAAGGGAAAATCAACTTCCGTTCTGACAACCAAGGCAGGTACATATATGCAGACCCAATAAACAACCAACACCAGGACTCCCGGGAATCCAACATCCAGGCAACAGCAGGAAGAGGAAATGCAAATGTGGCAGTTTAACTTCAGTCCAAAACCTGACAGTGTCAGGAATTTTTCATCCCAACTCTAGTAGGAGAAGGGCCCCTATCAACCATATGTGTGAGGACTTATGTTGGCCAGTCCTATGCCAATCCAACACCACACCACCCAGGAACAGATATCCAGGCACATCCAGGCAGCAGTAAAATGGGGAAAGCCAGCTGGAGAGGTGGACTGCATGTGGTGAATTTTTCCAGGCCAAAACCAGGTGGCAACCAAGATTTTTTTGTTCAGTTCACAGTAGGAGAAGAGTACTCGCCATCTTCACTCTCAGAATACCACTGCCCTACTATCAACTGAGTGGAATCAGTCCCACTCAGGAGAAAGCTTCCATGGTCCACCACCCCAATGGCTAGGAACTAGTAAGTGGTAAGGACTCCCATACTCTACAAGGAGGGGAGAATTCAGTGGAGAGTCCAGACAAATGCTACACTGTAAGGCAGTGCAATGGGTGCTCTTGAAAAAACTTATTTTGAAAAGCATACCAGTCCCGATTTATTCAACCATGATCAGAGGTATGGGCAGCAATTCCAACACTGCTTTATTCATGATAGTCCATCAGTTGGTATGGTCTGGTTCGGGCATTATTTATGAAGCAAAATACCACGAGGCAATCTTGAGCAGTCTTGTGGAACACCTATCTCTTCAGTGAGCATAGTAGATGTACAAGGCTGTATGTTATATATTTATGTTGATGTATACCTGGACAGACACCACTCACCACAGTGTGGGATCCAAGCAACAAGAAAAAGGCCACTGTAAATGTATGAAATGAAAAGAAAGAACTTACCCTTTCACAAATTAAATGAAGTGTGGAGGATGGTGAATGGAGGCAAATGATAATAACATGAGGAGGAGATGGCCAAATGACGAAAGTAGTGGGCTATAAAAGTGTGAGGTGTGGTCCTCATTCCAGTCTGTAGAATCTCCTCCAATGGGTGATGGAAGTGGCCAGCCAGGGATAGGGGGATAATGAATTTGGTGGGAGGAGATATGGAAAATGTGATGGAAATCCTCAAATAATGAGGTATAACCAACCCAAATAAGTTTGCATATCCAACAGGAGAAAGGTCACTGTTTATTTGAGCATTTCATATTCTCCAATAAGCCTTGATGAGTGTCTTAATTTGAGTCTCACAAAAAATTCATGTAGATATCAAATATGCATGTTAGAACACAAAAATATATTCAAGCACTAAAACACAATGTCCCAAAACTACTATAATTTATCCAGCTTTCTACAAAAGGTATAAATAGGTTTAAAAAATTTGTCACTGTTCAGAACACCATATCTGAGCAACACAAACCTAGCAATACTCATTAACTCAAAGATAATTGAAAGAAAACTGAATATAGAATTGTACGATTTAGGTAGAGGAGAATCTGCTCTTTCTATTGATTATAAGAATGTATATCAACTATTTAAAGTTGATTAGTAAACAATCTTGAAAGTCACACAGAAAGGAGAGGGACTTCTTTGGTGGATTGGACAAACTTATTAATATCTAAGCAAATACAGAGGGAGGGAGGGAGGTTTAAATTTCAGATCCTTGCTTGTAATTTTGTATAGCTTGTGCTCTGTTTAGTTGGAACTGCAGAAACCTATTTTAGAGGTTAAAACTTAAACATTATAAAATTTTGATTATAAGCTATGTTTTCATGTTGTTTAATTAAATTTTGAAAGTTACACTGTAAAAGATAATGATGTGCCCACTTTGTCCTGGTCATACAGCAAAGTTTACAGTATTCCCATAAGATCCAAAAGGCTCTTGAGGAGAATTATAGATTTACAGAATTGAGGAAAACAAAAGACAGCTGTACCTTTCACAAACTTTTCATTAATTACTACCATGGTTTCTCCCAGAAAAGTATTGTCAGATAAAGACTGAAACAGCTTGTAAACAAGTATAAGTATGCTTAACCAGAAAAAGAAAAAACAGCTGTAAAACTGAAACAAGTGGGATAAGAAGTGAGGAGAAGCTTAATTTGATATTGTCATTGAAAACTTTGTCTTGATTTCTTTTTAGACTTCTATTTATTTCAAAGATTTCCAGGTTATCTATTTTTTTATTTTTTTCACAAACATGTAATATTTTGCATTTAGTGGGATAAAATTGGTGTTCTGTTTCCATAAAATTTTACAAAAACGTTTCATCCATCTTCCGAATTTCCATCTTGTTTTATCCCAAGAGTTCTGTCTGTCCTATATATACAGTATTGTAGTCTTAATACATTAATTAATAAACACCACAGTGGCTGTGTTTCTAAATCTTAGATTTTTTGCTTGTAATCATGTATAGTTTGTGTTTTTGTTTAGTTAGAAACTGAAGTGACCTATTTTAGAAGTTAGAAACTTTTGAAGTGGAGAAATCACCTCAGATGCATCATGTGACAGAAAGAGAGAAATGGAAAAAATGGACCTAACTTTTGCAACCCATCTTATGGAAACAAAACACCAATTTCATCCATAAAAACTGCAAATGTTTATATGTTTGTGAAAAATGTTAATAGTTGGAAATCTTAGAAATAAATAGAAATCTAAAAATAAACTCCAAAAAAGTTCTCACAACAATACCAACTTAAGCACCTCCCCACTTCTCACTCCACTTTCCTCAAGGAGATTGTCAAAATTTCCAACCAGTTTTTCATTTAAGCATATTTATACCTGTTTGCAAGCTGTTTCAGACTGTACATGATGATACCTTTATGGATGAAATCACGATAATAATAAATAACATATTTGTGAAACATACAATTGTCTTTGTTTTCCTCAACTCTGTAATTATGGAGCTTCATCAAATACCAACAGTCTCAAGTATTAATTGCATATTATTTTACAAATTTATCTCCATTATCTATTAAGACTTTTCACTTTCAAAATAATTATGCAAATTTGTTACATATACATTACAATCATGCATCATATACTCAAATACTTTCCTTTTGTGAAGATGATCACTCATTGTAATATTAATTCTATTTTTCAGATACACAATAAAATATTTCTAGGTGTAAAAATACAACATTATACTTACAATTCAATTGTGGTGGATGCTTTATTACAACCATGTTTAATGTAATCTACAACATGATTGGCTCGTCCAATGACACTAGTTTTCCCTCCAAGCCCAAGGCAAATTGCACACACAATAGTAGACTTCCCTGTCCCATTTGGACCAATGATGAGATTGAGATGAGGACCAGGTGATAATTCAACAGAATCATAAGTCCTGAAAATAATATACACTAACTATCAATACTGAAAAATTTAGCTAAAAAGGATAACTGCAGATTTTTATATGCTTTTAAACATTTTTACTGTACCTTCCAGGGTATCTACATATATATTTTCCAAAAATATTATCTTATAATAATTTTGATATTTAACTGAAATCAAATTCCATTTCAGAGAAAAGTATCCAATATTGTATCACTTTCATTATTTATAACAGGGTTAAAACACTATAACAAAGGTTAGAGATGGGCAAATTAATCAAAGTTAGTGTTTCCAAATAGTATTGTTTTTGATCATTCCAATAATTAATTAATTGTAATTTCAATTAATCAATTAATGTCACAAAAATGCAACTAATCAAAGGAAAGGCAATTGGCTAATGGTACCCAATGCCAAATCCCTGACTACTCGTGTTAAATATAGGTTATCTAATCACTGTTACTCATTTTGAAGTGCTGATGAACCATTTGCAGCATTTTGAGGTATTTTTACAACATTTTCAAATGCTTCAAGAAATGAGAAATACAATTTCATAAAATTCTATGTCTAATATATATACATGCAGTATGAAGAAAAGTTGGGCACATCTAATAAATGCATACAAGGAGTTACACAATGATGCTTGACCAAGAAAGAAAATGTGTATATCAAGTATAACTAAGATGCATTCCAGGTAGTATAGAGAATCAACTGTTCACATTATCTATAGACCGATGCCACAGCAGCAAAAAGAAAGTTTATATCAACTTCACTATAGACTGGACACAGCTTCCATTAAAGGAATTAGCAAGGAAATCAGAGACTATGGGGAGGGGGGGGGAGGAATTTGATCTAAAGAGGATGAGGAAAAATACATGCGAAAAGGCTGCCAATTTACCATTTTACCATCTTCAATCATAATCAATTGTTGAATTAGTTTTGGTTTTAATTCCAAAAATTAGTGACTTGTGTACTCCACTCTCAACTGTAAATCTGGAGTTTAAATAAATCTATTGTTAAACTGGATTAAGTTGAACTCCAAATGACTAGCCTATACAGTGGTCCACGTTTTTACAATGGGTGCAGTCTTCCAGGATTTTGGGAGTAACTAATGACAGGTTGGTTAGAGTAAAGAAAATAGTAGAAGTAAGTCAGTTTATGTACTATAAATAGTGTAAATAGACTTAAGTAATAAATAACTAACAAGGCTAGCATAGACACTACTACAGATGAGGGGGTATGACCATGAGATGATAGAAAGGCTGGCACACAGTTTTAAGCTGCAGCAGATCAACTTGCACAAGTAGGTCCATGCAGCAATACGCACTTAACAGATGTGATACCACTGTTCCACAGTAAATTCAATGATGATATCAAAAGTTTTATAGATTCATTAAATGAAGCTACTAGAATTTCAGGGTGAGCTAATGCTCAAAAGGCAATTATTTTGAGACTGAGAACAGTAAGGGAAGCACATTACATTAGGGCTTATGAGGAAATTTGAAAAACTGCAGATTTCCAGTAATTAACATGTAGGTTAGTAAAATAAGACAGAAAGTGTGAAACACCAAACAAATCTGACACAGATACATAGCTTGATTCAGCACAGAGAAGAGTCAGTCAGAGTTTTTGGGCATAAGCTACAAGCACTAGGTACCAGATTTAGCAGAGCTTACAAACATCCTAACGAGCTGATGATACATGATACTATGAAGTCAGATTATGAACGAGATTAAATCAAAAACATAAGTGCAGAAATGTAAATGAAGCAAACATGCCTGAAGCAACTTTACTGGATCTGATTGAAGTGGCTACACAAGAAAAGCTACATGAAAGACAGACATATAAGTCTCAGAACTGTACTATAAATATAGACCTTTCAAGATGGGTCACAGGTGAAAGGCCATGTCATCTCATTTGTTGATTCTAATTCAAAATTTTATTGAAATACTATTTCATGAATTTATGTCATAAAGTTTGGTATCAAACTGTAGATTATAATTCAAATGTTAGAACTATACATTGCTCAATTTGTCAATTTAAAAACAAAAATCAATGTTTATCTGTGTTTTTTTAATATTTACGGGTCACATGGTATGCTGAATGCAGAACTGGTTCAAATTAGATGTTTATGAAGTCAAAATACTAAGTCTATAATTTCATACGAATTAGAAACTCAAATTACAGATATTGACAAGTTAGAATATAAAATAAGAAGCTCTTACCTTTCTATTTCTAAGATATTGCTCATGTAATAAATCAAACACAATGGCACTCCACTCACCTCTTTCCATTTTTTTGGAAACACTCCCTTATATACACTTACTTCTATATATATATGACATGAATAACCAATCAGAAGCTCAGAATGTCCCCCTAATGGTTTTCTCAGCCTTCGTAATGTTCCTTCCACCATTTGTTTTCTTTTGAACCAAGATTTCAATGAGGTAGGTTGCGTCGTAAGTCTGCTCAAAATTTCATATTTTTTTAGACTAAAATACATCTTTGTTACTAAGCTTGATAAATTATAGTTGAATTCTATGGTATTCAGATAGTAACTTATGATTTTTTAGTTATTCAAACGTAAATATAAAACCTAAAAAAATATTTTGTTTCATATCCTCCATGTGCAAAATTTTTAAAGGCTTAGCAACCTACGTCAAGCAGCAACCGAGTACAAAGGTTGTAACTAAACGAGTTAATTGTTTGCTTTACTTCTTTATTTACTGTTCAATGTTTTAGGAAAAATAACTTTAAGGACTTATTTCTAAATAGTAATAATCTATATACATATATAATGTATAATAATTGAAATGTGTCTGTATTTTACAAAATACTAGTCTACTAAAACATAGCCAAAAGTACAGATCAAAGGTCACCTTTATGTTATTTGATATGGTAACATGAGTGCACGTAAGCCGCATCATTGTAACTTCTGTATGGATGAAAATTAATAAATATATATAAATGTATAATGTTATGAACTTTTTAAGCTTTGTCATCTAAACATTTATGTTTTTGTGTTATAATTTGTGTCCATTCTAGAATGAAAAAGGCATAATTTGTTTATTTCCTAATTTTTTATTGTGGTTGCAAGATCAGTCAAATTTACCGAACCCATACAGAGATTAATTACTGAAAATAACAGATAAAATATAAAGCTTTTTCTTAAAGAATGTTTGATAGCTATCCGGACATTGTAAAGATTTTGCATGTGAAATTCTTAAATTTTCTGTTGCATAAAAGTATTTTTTATCTTAAAATTAAAATTACTTTACATGATAGATAGGCAAGATGTGAAAAGAAAAAAAAGGCATGAGAGAAACATTGCTTTACAAACCTTAAGACTTAATAAAAAAAATTAGATATTTTGCATATGAAAGCACTGTAATGTTTACTGATAAACTGCCAAATTTCGTTAACATTTGCATACTAAATAAAAATTTATAGCATAAAAAGTATAACAAGTACAAAATCGTTGACGTCACTCCTAGGTACCGAGCCCAGGTTGAATGAGTTAAACAAAGGACTTTTAGTAGGAACAGAATAAAAATAAAAATTACATATTTTTTCTGAAACCAAATACCACCAAAAAAAATCAATATAAACCTAAATTACCTTTTTTTTCTTTCTAGAATGATTTCAAATTGTTACATGAAACTATGTTTATCCTAAGTAGCTCTAATTTCATAACAGTATACATTTCTTTATAATTAAAATTTATTGTTTCATTGCTCTTTGAACTGTGTCTAACTACTATCAGCACCATTATAAGTTGTCAATCAGTCGGAGAATGTGTAGGTCACATTATGCTATTGAATTACATTACCCATGAGCTACTCGTATGCATGCCTCGTGAACCATTTTAATTATATTACTATTATTACTTATTTTACCTAATCTAGTCTTAAATAACTTAAAAAGATCCATATTTTCAGATTTTAGTTACTTTTATAATAATAAATAAAAAATTAATATGAAAAACATGAAATAAAGTACTTACCTAATCTTTTTTTTTTCTTGTTGTTATGGTTTAGAAGAGAGTTCACCCTAATTTTTTATACCATAAATAGTAATGCACTTAATAACTTTTATATAATTAAATAATGTGCCAAAGAATATACACGAAAACATGCAAAGATGTAGACAAATTCACTTCTAAAACTTTTTCTGGTTTTCTAACTATGAGAAATAGCTGTTATACATTCATCCAAGCTAGTCATTAACTTTCCCAAAGAAACAATGTTGGCACTCTGAGTGAAGTTGATATCTAACTGTTCAGAACATAATGTTATACAATATGTCATTTGATAGATGAAAACCTTGACTTTCTATTGGTTATAGGTAATATATAATAAAACATAAGAGAGAACTATCAACAAATTGTGAAAGAGAGGATGTGACAGGTGGGTGTGACAGGAGGGGTCTGATTTTCTGTTTGATAGCTCTGTAACCCAACACAATTTTAGGCTATAGGAATTATGGTGGAAATTCCGGATTTTTTTAAATATCTACTTCAAAAATATATACTATAAAAATAGGTATTATTAGCTAAGATTTTATGCTATTCTAATCGGTATAACAT